GTCCTCTAGGGGCCCTGTGGGTCAGAATCGACTCCAGGGCAGTGGGTGTGGTTTGGGCTTTGCTTCTGTAAAGATCGACAGCCTTGGAAACCCTGTGGTGCAGTTCCACTCTGTCCTCTAGGGGCGCTGTGAGTTGGAATGAACTCGATGGCAGTGGGTTTGGTGTTTTGGACACACCTGGGAACAGGGTAGGTGACAGCTGTGCCCAGAGGGATAGACCACTTCTCTGGGGTTATATTGCTGAGCAGGGCTTTGCACTGGGGTGTCTGGCTCTGGAGCCTTGGTCCAGGACCCTGGGTCCCTCAGCTGCCACCCAGGGGAACAGGGCTGTGACTCTGCTTGTGGAACGGAACCAGAGAGGGGCTGGGCTGCAACATCCATCCTTGTCACCTTAGGACACAGGCCTGTACTACCACCGGTATCTCCAGGAGGTCATCAACGTGCTGGAAACAGACGGGCATTTCCGGGAGAAGCTGCAGGCCGCCAACGCTGAGGACATCAAGGTGTGGCTGGTGGCCGGGACGGGGGAGGGACGCATGCTGGAGGCCAGAGGCCCAGAATGGTCTGCCTTCCCCAGAGGGGCGACACACACTCAGCCCTGCCCCTTTTCTACATCGCAGAAGAGATCTGGGGAGAGGAAGCACTTCTCGGGGATCACACAGCTGGGAAGGGATTTGGGGCACAGAATGTGGGTGAGCACGGGATTGGACAGCCCTGTCTCGGCTGTACCACTTACCTGCTGTGTGAGCTGGGGCAGTTGGCATTGCCTTTCCACCCCTCAGTTTCCCCATCTGTAAAATGGGTGTAGTAATAGTACCTGTAGGAACTCTGGTGGCATAGTGCCTAAGACATTTGACTGCCAGCCAGAAGTCCGTGGAAGGAAGATTGGGCAATGTACTTCTGTAGAGATACTGCCTCGAAAACTCAAGGAGGGGTCGCTATGAGTTGGATCCAACTCCATGACAGTGAGTTTGGGGAGCTCTGGTAGCACAGTGATTAAAGCATTTGGCTGCTAACCAAAAGGTCAGACGTTAGAATCCAGCAGCTGCTCAGGGAGCGAAAGATGGGGCAGTAGCCTTCTGAAAAAGATTGGCAGCTTTGGAAACCTTATGGGGCAGTTCTACTCTGTCCTCTGAGGGGCGCTGTGAGTCAGAATTGACTTAAAGAGCTGAGGGTTTGGGGCTTTTTTTTTTGGTTCTATAGATTTACAGCCTTGCAGTTTCATTCCGTCCTCTAGGGGCGCTATGAATAATCAGAATCGACTATGGCAGTGGGTTTGGGTTTGGTTTGGAATAGTACCTGCCTCGTAGGATTCAGGCTTGGTTTATCAGGGCTAGGCGATGAAAAGACAGTAGTAGTTCCTAGTAAGTGCCAGGTGAGTGTTGCAGAAACTAAGTACCTTAATCTCAGGGCCTTCAACAGAGGAAGAATTCAAAATAGGGTCTTTTCCCTGGCACTCGTGTTTAGCCCCCAAAGGAACCTGGATGGTCCCCACTTTACTCTGAGGCTCTGGAAGTAGTGTTTGCCTTTCCCGTGGCCCTGGGAGCCTCACTCCAGGGCTGGCTGAGCCCAGAGCCTTCCCCAGCCCCAGCACCTCCATGCACCCCCACCCGACAGGCAGACCCCAGGAGCGCCGCCGCAGAAACAGCCTTGGGAATCTCTCGTGAATAGACAGGGTCAGCCAAGGTGTCTGCGCTCCGCCTTCCCCACCCCTTTTCCAGAGAACTTTGGAATGCTCCATACTTCCGAATGCCCTGCCTGGAGGAGCCACTCAATGTGCCAGGCCCCAGTTCTGTAAACACCTTAGCCTAGGAGAGGCTTTGAGAGAGATTGGGCTAGTTGGGAGGTGCCTCGCTACCCTGAACCCTTCCTGCATTCCTGGGGCTCTCCACTGGCTGTGTCCAGGTGGCCCCGCTCTCTGGCCACCAGGCTCCACTCCATCATTTTTGTTGTTGTGTGCGGTCGAGTCGGACCGACTCATAGCCACCCCTCCTTGGGTTTCCGAGGCAGTATCGCTATGGAAGTAGATTGCCCAACCTTCCTTCCGAGGGGTGGCTGGTGGGTTTGAACTGCCAGCCTTCTGGTTATCAGTCAAATGCCTTAGGCACTGCGCCACCAGAGCTCCTACCTTCACAGAAGCAAAGCCCAAACCAAACCCAGTGCCTGGAGGGGATTCTGAGCCACAGCGCCCCTAGAGGACAGAGTGGAACTGCACCACAGGGTCTCCAAGGCTGTCAGTCTTTATGGGAGCAAAGCCCAAACCACACCCACTGGGAGCAAAGCCCAAACCAAAGTCACTGCCATTGACTTGACTTGACTTGACTCCTAGCGACCCCTCCTTGGGTTTCCGAAGCGGTATCACTATGGAAATAGATTGCCCAACCTTCCTTCTGAGGAGTGGCTGGTGGGTTTGAACCACCAGCCTTCTGGTTAGCAGTCAAGTGCCTTAGGCACTATGCTACCAGAGCACCCATCATATCAGCCCTAAACCACAGATTCTCTCTGGCCACGCCCTCTAACTCTCCAGGCCCAACCCTGTGTTCACAAATCAGGCCCCTCCCCCTAGGCTCCACCCCTGAGCTCTACAATCCCAGGTTCTCTTGGGCCCCACCCCCTGGCTCTCCAGGCCCCGCCCTTCTGCTGCTCCAGGCCCCACGCCTTCATTTACAAGGCTTTCCCCAGGCTCTGCCCAATCCCCTCTGTACTGAGGCCCGACCACCTGGTTTTCCAAGCTTTACCCTTTTTATTTTTCAAGCCCAGCACTAGGCTTTTACCACCCAGTTTTTCCAGGCAGTCCCAATGCTCTTTCAGGCCCCGCCCCCAGATCTACCAAGGCCAATCCCCTGGTTCTCTCAGGCTCCACCCCCTGATTTTCCACACCCACCTCTGCACTCTCCTGGGCCGGCTCACCCTGGCTCTCCCAAGCGTGATCCCAGGAGAGACCAGAGACCCGTGAGTCCAGGCTCTCTACTTCCCGGCTGTTAAAACCCAGGCCAGGGCGCTGAACGGGCTTCCTGAGGTCACATACTTGACAAGTGACGTCAGAAGCAGGGGCCGGTTAAGCCGGCAGGTTCTGGAGTGGCTCGGTGCTGGCTTGCAATCCCGGACAAGTGTCCACACCTGTGTGTGCCTTGGTTTCCGTATCAGGAAAATGGGGAGCCCAATGTGTAAGGTTCTCTTGTAAGGAGCAGCGTTTTAACCCTTCTTCCGGCACTTGGTCAGCCACATCCTAAGCCTGCATAAGTGCCAGTCCCTTTCTGAGGTCCAGAGCAGGGTGTGATGTTGGCACTGGAGTTTGAACCTAAACGCAGGACTTCCAGCCTGAGGAGACACTACACAGAATGTTTATATAAAATACCGATGTGGTCACCAGACCACCCACGGCCTTCTACACCAGGCTGAGGGGCTGGGACCCTGCCCCGGGGAACCAGGTTGGGCCCTGAGCAGGGGCGGGATAGGGTCAGAACTAGGTATCAGAAGGTTCCAGAAAGGGCCAGCCAGGGTGCGCCTTCCCCAGGCCCCAGCCCGACCAGGGTGTCTCTCTTCTCCGGGCAGAGCGGGAAGTTGAGCCGGGAGCTGGACTTTGTCAGCCACCACGTGCGCACCAAGCTGGACGAACTCAAGCGGCAGGAGGTGTCACGGCTGCGGATGCTTCTCAAGGCCAAGTTGGACGCTGAACAGGAGCCCAGTGAGCAGGGTGGGCCCTGGCGGGGTGAGGCGGTCTGGGCTCCCGGGCCTCCAGGTGGTTCAGTGGGAGGACATCGCGGGCTCATTGGTAAAACTCACCTTCCACGTGGACGGAAGACCCGGGTTCAATTCCCAGCCACTGCGTCTCATGCAGACCAGCCACCCGTTTGTCAGTGGCGGCTTGTGCGTTACTGTGATGCAGAAGGGGGCCCTGGTGGCACGGTTGTTAAAGCTCTGGGCTGCTAACCAAAAGGTCGGCAGTTCAAACCCACCAGCCACTCCTTGGGAGAATGCTGTGGCCGTCTGCTCCCATAAAGGTTTACAGCCTGGGAGACTGTGTGGGGCAGTTCCACCCTGTCCTAGAGAGTCACTATGTGTCGGAATCGAGTTCACAGCAATGGGTATGGTTTGGGTTTGGTTTCCAGACCGTGAGAGACTAGGAAGAAAGACCTGACACTCTGCTTCTGAAAAAGCAGCCAGTGAGACCCTTAAGCATCACAGTGGTCTGATCGCTGCCCCGTTGCGGGGATGGCAGGACAGCACGGTGTTTCATTCCATTGCACGTGGGTTGCCAGGAGGTGACCTGATGTCCACTAAACAACAGGATGTGCCTGGAAGATTGGGTTTGCTTCTGAGCATAGTTCATTACTCACATCGGACTGTATTTTCACTTTGTCTTTCCTCCACTAGAAGTGATTCGAGTTTCCTAGCATTTATTTATAACTATATCCTGTAATATATATATATATATATATTTTGGGAAAAAACGTAAATGTGTGTATATACACACATTTACATTTTTTCCCCAAGGCACAGATTATAGGATATAGTCTATAGATTACATATATGTATGTGTATGTGTATGTGTGTGTGTGTATATATATATACAGGAGCAGCTCTGGTAGCATAGTGCCTAAAGGCATCTGACTGCTAACCAGAAGGCTGTCGGTTCAAACCCACCAGCCACTCCTCAGAAGGGATGTTGGGCAATCTACTTCCATAGAGATACTGCCTTGGAAACCCAAGGCGGGGTCGCTATGAGTTGAATACGACTCTACGGCAGTGGGTTTGGTTCATATGTATATATTTTTTATTTATTTTTATTATTATTTTTCCTACCACAGTATTCACCACAGGTCCTGTCCCTGCCCTGCCCCACACCTTCCTGTATTTGTTGCCTAGGTTGCCCTGACAATGTACCACCAAGCCAGTGGCTTATAAAAACTGAAATGTATTGTCTCCCAGTTCAGGAAGCCAGAGTCTGAAATCAAGGCGTAAGCCGGGCCGTGAGCTCTGAGAAGGCTCTGGGAGAAGGTCCTCCCGTGGCTCCCGCTGGCTGCTGACAGTCAGCAAACCTGGGCGTTCTTTGCCTTACAGATGTATTATTCCAGTGTATGGAAGGCATTCTGCTGCCTTCGCATGGCTGTCCTTCCTCTGTGTCTCTTCTCTTTGATAAGGATGCCACTCAGAGTGGATTGGAGCCCACCTGACTCTAGTATAGGAGGCCTGGTGGAGCGATGGATAAGCCGTCAATTGCTAAGTGAAAGGTTGGTGGTTCAAGCCCACCAGCACCTCTGTAGGAGGAAGACTTGGCAATCTGCTCCTATAAAGATTTTTTGAAAATGAAAAACTGCCGGCAAGTCAATTCTAGCCCACAGCGCCCCTAGAGGACAAAGTAGAACTGCCCCAGGGGGTTTCCAAGGCTGTCAGTCTTCACTGAAGGAAAGCCAAACCACACCCACTGCCATGGAGTGGATTCTGACTCACAGCGCCCCTAGAGGACAGAGTGGAACTGCACCACAGGGTTTCCAAGGCTGTCAATCTTTACAGAAGCAAAGCCCAAACTAAACCCAATGCTGTGGAGTCCATTCCAACTCACAGCGCCCCTAGAGGACAGAGTGGAACTTCCCCACAGAGTTTCTGAGACTAATCCTTTGGAAGGAAGACTGGGCAATCTACTTCCATAAAGATTTACTGTCTTAGAAACCCAAAGGGGGTTGCTATGAGTTGGAATCAACTCGATGTCAGTGAAATTGGTTTTTTTTTTGTTTATTCCTTACAGAAGCTGGCTTCCTCATCTTTCTCTTTCAGAACTGCTGGGTGGGTTCAAACTGCTGACCTTTCAGTTAGCAGATGAACTCTTTTTATTTTTTTTACTTTTGATTGTGATTTGGGTGAAAGTTTACAGAGCAAATTCATTTTCCATACAGCAGTTCATATACTTTTTGTCTCATGACGTTGACTGCAATTCCCCACAATGCAACAGCTCCCCTCCCACTTCCTCCCTGTGGTTACCTCTTCCCTGTGTCCTTCCCTCTCATGCACCCCTTCCCCCAGAGCTGTCTCCCTGTGCAAACACTGCCCTTCTGTTCTCCCACGACTGATCCCTTCAAAGAGTGTATCTACCTGATGGAAATGTTCACCCCATAAGCCTGTTGTTTGGCTGGAAGCCATGGGAGTGAGTTCGGTTCCAAACCTGAAGGGTAACGAGGGACCAGAGTCGGGTCAGTTAGCAGACAAACTCTTAACCTTTGTACCACCAGGGGTCTTCCTATAAAGATTACAACCTACAAAACCCTATGGGGCTATTCCACTCTGTCCCATGAAGTTGGAATTCTAATGTGACCTCATTTTAATGACTGATAACAGCTTCAAATACTCAGTTTCCAAACATAGGCAGGTTCACAGGTACCGAGGTTAGCACTTGAACGTATTTCTGTGGAGTGTGTTGCAAAGTTGAACACAGCTCAAGCCGTGGTTCCCCAGGGCCCATGGGTCAAGCCCACGGTTGGGGTTGGTCAGGACTGCAGCTGGGAGCCGCGTGGACTCTGCCCCTGTCGCCCCGCCTTTTCCGGTCACGTGATCCTCACCAGCCTTCCCCTTCAGCAGTTTTTCCAGTTTCTGGAGCTGGTCATGTGCCTTCCACCAGGAACCTTTGTCCCTGCCCTTCCCTCCCAGCCTCGGGCTCAGCTCTGAGGCCCGCCCCGCCCATCCTGCAGCCGCCCCGCCCATCCTGCAGCCGCCCCGCCCATCCTGCAGCCGGGATCCTTCCGGCTTCTGCATCCACCCTGGGGGGGGCGGTCTGCGGTTGGTCGCTGTTCTCCGGGTCTCCGCACTGGGGCGATCGGAGTGGGGGTTCCATCGCTGTGGGGGTCACACACTGTCCACGGGCAGGGTGTGCCTGAACGCACCGGCAGCGGCGCGCGGGCTGTGCGCCTCAGTCAGTACCGCTTCAGCAGAAACCACAGTGGGAGGTTTTAACGAACAGAAATTGACTCACAGCTCGGGAGGCTGGAAGGCAGATCCCGGGCCCTGGCCATAGGCCAAGGGTCTCTCCGGCGGCTCCAGAGGAAGCTCCTGGTCTCCTTCAGCATCAGTAGCCTCTGCTCCGTGGCGTCCCTCACGTAATCGCTTGCTTCTTTCTGGGTCTGAATTGCTGTGTTTTTTCTGCCTCAAAAGTCCTCAGGTGTAAGACACACGGTACCCTGCTATGGCCTCATTGACAACAGGGAGAATTCTGTTCCCAAGTGGGATCTCCACCCACCCATGTTGTTAAG